CAGTACAATATCCCATTTCTGTTGAAATACAATTATCATCCATGTACTCACATTCTGAATGTTCTTCATCAAATTCATCACCACTAACTCTCTTGAGAGTATAATTAGTTGTACATGCAGTACAATGATTTGCTTTTCCTTCACATAATTTACAATGTTCAGCACACTCTTCACATCTTTGTTTTCCAGTTGGAACATAATAACCTCGTGTTTTCTGTCCTTCAGCACTTAAATCATTTTTACATTCTTTACATCCTGCTTGATCAGCTAGAGCACAATGATCGTCTTTCTTAATACAACCTGTGTTATCAAAATAATAATCATCAGCACATGAAAGACAGTGTGTAGCTTCACTAACACAACTTCCACATTCTGCACTACATTTTTGACATTCTAAATCAGAATTAAAGAAATAACCATGAATACATTGTAAACACCCATAAGTGTCAGACCCTTCTTCACAAAATATTGATTCTTTATTTGAACATGTACCTTTATATAGAACAAAACCTTTCTCACATTGTGTACAATGATTTTGATTATCACTGTCTTTGTAACAAACTTTACAATGACCACCACATTCTACACAATTACCAGCTTCCAATCTATATCCATCATTACATCGTTCACAATGGTCTTCTTTCAAATCAGCACAATTATTAATAGAAATACATTCATCTGGATTGCTTTCTGTTCCATCATTCTTTTTTAATAATTTATAGTTATTACATTGATAACAATTATATTGGTCAGTACATAATGCACAATTCTCCATACATTCAGTACACACTTTATTTTTTATATCAAAATATTTCCCAGCTGGACATCTTCCACATGCCTCATCATTTTCTGGTAATGAACAATCAACGCATGATTTTTCATCAGTAGAAAGATAAAGCTGTGTACCATCACTTTTTTGACCACATTGGTAACAATGTGTAGAATTACAATAATTACATCCTTCTACACATTTAACGCATAAATTACCGTTTAACCTATATCCTGGATCACATCTAATACAAACACCACTGTCAGGAACAGCACAATTTTCTAGTGTAGTGCTACTTTTTTTACATATTAATGAAGGGATACCAGTATCTTTATTATCTTCTAATTGAAGAAAACAACCTTCAGGACATTGGGTACAATGGTTATCAGAAATTTTATGTAAACAATCACACTCAGCCAAAGATTGAACAATAAATATTCCAATGAATATGATAACTACCATTTGTTTTTTAACAATAATTAATTTTAGATTTTTTTTTCTTAGTTTCATTGGTTCTTTTAATAAATTATTTACTATTATTTTTTTTTGGAAATTTTCACTGATCATTCACCTTTGAATACTTACTATTTTTAATTCTTTTATCGATTTTGGAATTGTTTATTTTTATTTAAATGGTTTCATTTATCGTATTTTTAATATTCTTTTTTTTACTCTAAAATTAAAAAAATATTTTTATGTTTTATATAACTAGATATTATTAAAGAAAAATCTCTTATAGATGATGATAAAAATTACCATTTCATTGGTAAATCATTGTCTACAGAAACTGTTTTTTCCATTCTGAATTTAAATGGCGTTTCAAGGAATCTCCAAATACAGTCCATCAATAAATTTAATCCAACTGCCATTGAAAATACATACAAAAGTCCGAAGATTTTCCAACTTAATAAGAAGTCTAAGAATCTACTTTGCACTACATAAAAGTTTTTATAAATGAATGGAGTTTCCCAATTTATTGTAACACTATAATTTGTATCTTTATTTTTACAGATTGTAGTAATTTTATCATACACTTCGTTTTGAGCTTGAACTGTACCTGGGGAAAGTCTAATACCTTCTTCTATTGTAACTCTTAGCATTGAATTAGTAGGTAATTTAGGTAATTTAGTAGTATTTTTTTCCCAACTTTTATAAGAAATTCTTTGAGTTGTTTTAAAGGTAGTTTTTGTAAGTAATTTTGAGTAATCATTTTCTTCTTCATCAATCTGTTGGTATTCACCATTAGATTTTTTATCTAATATTTTACTAATATAATGATAAGATTCTCCATACACATTTCCTTCTGGTTTTCCAGAGATGTATCTATTCAAAATATCAGGGAGATTGTGATTGAAATTCCCATTCCATAATTCCATTAAAATACTATGCGCAGCAAATACTCTGTTATAAAAGTCTGTGTCTCTATAAAAGATACGTGTTATAAATATTATAATCAACTCTAGTAAGAGTGCTGACAAAAAGATCCCTGATGAAACAATAACTTCAAAATCATTTTTTTTACAAATAATTCTATCACACATAACAACTAGTGATGCAAAAACAAAGGGTGATAAGAAAATATTGATAATTGGAATTCTTCTTCCAAGTCCAAGATTTACAGCAGCTAAACATAAAACAGCAAAAGGGTATCCAATAGCAAGTCCATAAGTGACGTGTTTTCTTCTTCCAGAATCACAATAATTAAAGTCTTTTCTTTCTTTAATAGATTCAGTTAAACAATTAATTTGAGATTGAGTTATTTCACAATTTTCT